GGATTGGTTTCCTTCGAACTGTGGTCTAAACAGTTATATGATATGATCGCATTGTAAATATATGTATTCTGAAATAGAGATGTGCTGTGGCGTGGAATTGAAAAAGTCTCTCTATATCTAATATTAATGCCATGCATATTCCATCTACGTATGAATTTGTTTACTAAATATGAAAGGTGTTTTTGAGTAAAGAACCTTACGAGTCAGATTTAGGAGCTGGTACTAGTAAACCACTGAGCAGTACGACATCTTTGAAAACAATTGTTTTCTCGTAGATTTATGTAATATAGCCTTATTTGCAAATAAAACTCTGAGAATAGCGTAGCACTGAGAAATTAGCTAGTTCACGTGTATAACAAATTTTAAGTCATCATCCATTATAATACCTAGGTTCTTCGAATGCTCCACAGGAACTAATTTATTACCTTTAAATGTATCTCTATGTCGTTTTTTAAAGAATTCTTTTTTGTTCTATTTGCGTATACCAACATATTTGTCTTCAAAGGGTTCAAACGAAGATTATGACTACTACTGAACTTTTCAATTTGGACAAGATCTTGATTAATTTTATTATTTGCTGTTTCCAAGTCATTACTCCTAAATGAATAGAAAATTTGAGTATCGTCTGCAAAAAATTGTGTGCTGCATGATTTTACCTCTGTTTCTAAATCTGAGATATATAATAAAAATAATAGAGGTCTTAAGTCTGATGCCTGTGGTACACCAGAACAAATTTTTTGTTCGGTAGAGTACTGTTGATTTAGACGAGCTTTTTGATACCGATTTTCAAGGTAGGTTTGAATAAACCAAAAGAGGTTTTTCAGAAAATCCATAATAACTGCATTTAGACACAAGAAGTGAGTGATTAATGGTGTCACATGCTTTAGTAAAGCAGTATGAGAGCTACTGCTTGGTTATCAAGTGCCATTATTATATTGTCTGTTAAATCACAGAGTGCCGAAGCTGTATTATGACCTTGTCGAAATCCAGATTGTTTAGATGGAATAATTTTCTTAGAATATAAGTAGGCGCAGAGCTGCTCGTAAACAACGCGTTCCAATACTTTAGAAACAATTAGACTGATCGGTCTCAGTTGACCATAGTTAGCAGGATAGTATAATAATAAATAATATAACTTTGAGTTATGACAAAGTATATTTTTGTGATTTAGGAAACATAATGTATCTATTTCTTGTACTGCAGCTGTGTTGTGCGTTTATTAAAATTCTTCTAATTTTATGTAGGAATATGCCAAGTGATAGAAAAAATTGCCAACAGATATCCAGTACACGGGATTCAGAGTAAAATGATTATGTTGGGTAAGGGTTAGTAACCGTTTTTTATAAATTATTTTTAAAATCCATTTTTGTAACAATTTATTAACATTATTTTCACAGCGATACCCCATACTACAATCCCGTACTGCACATCAATGTTAAGTATTCCTGAAAGACATTTGAACTTTGTCATGACATATCTAATCTTTTTTGTGACGTAATCCGATTGTTTATTCCATTTAAGGTGACAATCGAGGTATACCCCTAGATATTTTATATTGGGAACCATTGTAATTGTAAAATTTTGATTAGTAGAATAATTTATCTGCATAATTTGAAATGGAACCTAATTTAAAATATACTAAGTGACATATAAATCCGAACATCCAGTTTAAATGGTTTTATTTTAATAAAATTTTGTATAAGTACTTAATGAAGCATAATAAGTAAACGATAAAAATTTCAAAATGATTGCACTGCTTTAAAGCCCTTTGACCTTTAATAATGTGTGGATGCACCCTGATGTGCTACGCATTCTCCAACGCGCCTAGGCATGCTTCTGATCAGGTGGTCAAAGTTCTCCTGTGGTATCTCATTCCAGGCAACCACCAACTCCTCTCGAAGTGCTTCTAGAGTCTGAGGAGGACGTTGCAAATTGAGCAATCTCCTGCCCATCATATCCCACACGTGCTCAATTGGCGATAAGTCGGGAGATCTTGGTGGCCATGATAACAATGTGACATCATTATGTTGAAAGAAGTCTATTGTGACTCTTGCAACATGTGGTCGAGCATTATCTTGTTGGAAAGTTGGATCTGCCAGGGTGTCAAGATAGGGTAAAAGATGGGGTTCTAGAACTTCGTGGATATAACGCTGCGCGTTCATGTTACCTCTGATGAAGATTAAAGGTGACCTGGAACCATAAGCTATAGCACCCCAAACCATAACCCCAACAGTGTGATGAACATGTCTTTCAACAAAAAACTTTTGATTCCTCCTTTCACCACGTCGCCTTCTAACCCTGGCACGACCATCGTGCATGCCTAAACAAAATCAAGACTCGTCACTAAAGACAATACTGTTCCATTCCTGATCCAAGAGTGACCGTTGTCTGCATCACTCAAGGCGATTACGTCGGTGTTCTCGAGTTAAAGGGAGGACCCAGTGTGGCCGGTATGAAAACAAGCCAAAACTTCTCATTCGTCGGTAAACACTTCGCATGCCAATAGGTCTTCCGTGTTCTGCAAATCATTCATTTGCAATGGACCTGGTAGTGGAGAAACGGTCCCTTAAGGCCAATAATCTTAGGCGGCGATCTTCACGGTCTGTTGTTCTACGGCGGCGTCCAGTGCCCCTTGCTCTTTGCGTACGGCCTTCTTGAAGCCATGCCTGACAACACCTAACCACAGTGTCTACACTTCTTTGCACTCTTACTGCTATTGCCCGAAAAGAAAGTCCAGCTTCCCGAAGTCCCACTATACGGCCCCTATCAAACTCACTGAGATGACGAAGTAGTACAGGTCTCCGTACTCTAGGCATCGTAACCGATCGTAAAGGATGTCAAGAACCAAAATCCGCCAACGTTGATTCTTTACTGCGGCTGAAATATTCATTTTTAGAGCGTTAGTGAATTAAAAAAAAAAACAGTATAAAAACCGGAATGTCCAACTGATAAGGCTGAAAATTTTTTCACTTGTTATTTACAGTAAGATAAATACATTCACCAACTTTTATTAAAATAAAACCATTTAAACTGGGTGTTCGGATTTATATAGAATTAGCACTAGTGACGTTATTCTTGTTATAACCAAATTTTCCACGTTATGCTCAAATATGAAAATATGTTAGATGGAAGTGATGACTTGACTGATGACAGATAACAGAAATCATCGTAGCTGCAGGTTTGTTTTACCGAAAACCAAAGAGCATTCCACTCAAATAAATTGATTATTTTTACAATTCTTCCATATACGGTAGTTTTCTTCTACTGGAATCTCTAGTGCATAAGTTGTTTTCCCTAGATCTTGAACATGCAAGCACTAAATCAGTGTTAGGTTTACAATGGTGTTTGGATTGTTTTATTTCTTTAGAGGTAGCGTGAGGTAAAGAAATGTGTAATGTTAAAATAGATGCTTGTACCTCATGGTACATTATTACTTACAATTGACGCTGAGAGATATCCTTTTACTGACAGCTGGTGGTATGTCGTTGCTTGCGATGCACAGGTAGGCACCCATCTGTTTTCTGTCCAATCTCCAGAAATGTAGGCTGGAACCATTGTAGGTTTCCGCTGTAAAAAAAAAATAATAATTTCAGCTGATAAGGCGACATTTGAACGGAATTGGTACATATTTTTCTAAATGGTTGAATAGAACTAATCCTTAATCATCTCCATATCCAGGATTACCTACGGTTGAGTAGGCGGATATTATCGGAAGTTGAAGTTATTTCAGGGCCTCGTTTATAATCAGTATGTCAGCCTGGCGGAGAGCGAAATATGTTTGGCAATAAATTTGAAAAACATGGTTTTAGATAGTTTTCCCTCATGTTTAGCTTTATATCTTGAAATGTAAAGCTCTCAAAGCAAAATCAAAGCATTTTTTAAATTTTTTACTGGTCAAAATTCCAGATTTAACTACAGTGTTATTTGAAGTTAGGGATTATTAAATTTTTTAGGGCTGCTCGATATCCGACAAACTTGACCGTTTCATAATATATGCTTCCAGTGATTTCCCAATTTTCATGCAAAGCATTTGGGGATGCGTTTATAAAATATTCAAGGTATTTCATTATTGAGGATATAATCTCTGAAACTCTTCGTTAGTAACAAATTTAAAGATAAAAGTGAAGGCAAAACATACTCCTACTATTAGGCTGGATTAATGTGAAGCATTATGCACTGCATACTGTGTTTCTTTTCAAAGATATTAGAAAAAGCTGTTTATCTACAACTATTTGAATATTTAGAGATGAACAATTTACTTCCTGTCCAGCAGTCTAGATTTCGTGCTGGACACTGTACAGCTACTTCACTTCGCCATTTGACAGACAATATCTTAAATAAAATACGGATAAACATATTAATACAGTTTTAGTTATGGTCGACTTCTCTAAGGCGTTTGACACAACCATAAAATTTTTTGAAAATCACTTAATTAATCGGAAACAAAAGGTGAAGACAGTTAGAGGTATCTCATCTTCTGTTGCCGTTTCTTCCGGTGTCCCTCAGGGCTCTGTCTTAGGTCCTTTACTGTATTTGATATATACTTTTGATTGACATTCATGTATTGAGCATTGTGTTATACAAGCTTACGCGGATGATACGCAGGTTTCTTTTCATTTTGACTTGTCTCATCTGGATGAAGTGTCATATAAGATAAATTGTGATCTTGCCAACATCTCTGATTTTTATAAAAGACACATGTTGAAGATTAATCCGGATAAGAGTACTTGCATACTTTTTTATCCTAAATATTCGCGTAATCGATTAAGGGACAGAATTGCATTGAGCATCAACAACGAGCTCATTTTTATTGTGGAACGAGCAAAAAATCTTGGTGTCATCTTCGACTCTAGTTTAAGATTTGGCAAACATGTGCGTCATCTATCGAAGTCCACCTACATCAAATTAAGACTACTATATGCTACTAGATTCATTTTGAACTTTAAAACGCGTAATAAGCTAGTTGAAAGTTTGATAATGTCCAGCCTCAAGTACGCCTTAACCTTATACTATCCTTGTCTTGACTCGATGAATCGGTGTAGGATCCAAAGAATGCAAAACAGCTGCTGTATATTTGTGTATGGTCTTCGAAAATATAGTCATGTCTCCTCTAAGATCAAGGAGCTGAAATGACTGAAAATGGATCAAAAATTTGAATATAGTCTTAAGGTAGGGTAAAAGGAGGAGAGATGGACCAGGAGGATAAACGGTCCACCGAAAATATCCGGCAAGGTTTGACAACAAGGCAAGACTAACCTACTCTGTGTTGTTTCCTAACGTCAGTTGTGTCTGAGACGGCCACTAGAAGGCATCATCGCGCCTACGCGAATGTTACGATAATTGAATTTACCACGTGTTAAAATTTGAAAACCTGTTTTTTTATAAAAATCAGGTAAGTTTATCCGATTTTTTGTTGATTCACTATTTAGATATATATATATATATATATATATATATATATACAAAGTATACTATACAGTGCCAATTGTAGCTTTAATCTTCATATTTTAGATGATAGGAACTAGTCCATCTACCCTCCTATTTGAGGATAGATGGACCACTTAAGAGGAGGAGAGTTAACAGGTATATTTTGTTTTAGAATTATGCCCAATAAATACATCCGTAAATAAAGCACACCAAAAAGGGGTTCTTGGTCCCCTAGTGGTTTAAGTGATGCAGTAGATGCTGTGAAGAATGGCGATATGGGCATCAATGAAGCCGCCAAAGCATTTGGGATACCAAAAACGACTTTCAAGCGTTGGTTAAAAGCAAACAACACTGACAAGAATGATCGATGGGGGCCGGATTGTTCTTTGGGCTTGAATGCCGAACTTAAAATGGTTAATCACATCAAGCAACTGCAAAAGGCAGGCTTTGCATCCACCAGAACTGAAGTAAAAATCATGGCGTTTAAGTTAGCTAAGCGAATGGGGATCCCAAATAAATGTAATCAAAAAGAAGGTAAATTTTAAAAATATGCAACACACATTGTTGTTACTAATTATTGATTTTTTTAGGTAAAGCTGGCCAAAAATGGTTAGAACTATTTTTAAAGCGAAGACCTAAAATTTTAATCAGGAAATCGGAAAACACCTCAATTGCGCGAGCTTTGGGAATCTCCAGAGAAACCGTTGGTAATTACTTTTCTGATCTCGAGAGAATTATGACTGAACATAACTTTTAATAAGGCTCAAAATGCGTTCCTAGTGTAAGCCCTGGGGAAAAAGGCGAAACAATCAGTGTTATAGCATGTTGTAGTGCAGAAGGGATTTTCTTGCCCCTGTATTGTATTTTCAAAGGAAAAAATAGAAAAGAGGAATGGCTAGAAGGTATGCCACCGGGTTCTAAGATTAGGATGTCAGAAATGTCAGCTTACGTTAACAGTGACATCTTTATAGATCGGTTACAAACCCATTTTCTACCAAGAAAGCTCCCAGGTAAAACTTTATTGATATTAGATGGCCACACGTCCCATACAACCAACCTGGACCTACTAGAATTTGCAGAACAAAATGAAATAGTTTTGTTTTGTTTACCAGCCCATACAACGCACTATCTACAGCCTCTCGATCGTGCCTTTTTTAAAACTCTTAAAAGCAACTTCTACGCTGAATGCCGTTTTATGGTTCAAAATAACCCAAACAGGGTCCTAAATTGCCTTCAATTTGGTAAGCTGTTAGGTCGAGCATGGGGAAACTCAGCAACTGTTCAAAATGCGACTTCATTCAAATCCACGGGAATTTATCCATTTAATCCATTAGTTATCCCGGAATATGCTTTTTTGACACAGACACCAGTCCAAACGCCTCAAACAGAAACATCGCAGATGAACAATTCGTCAGTTAGATCAGAATATCCTCAACCAGGCCCCTCCGGAATTCAAAATCCAAAAGCTTCACCTGTTAGCCCTAACAAGTCATCAATTCCTGATGAAGTTATAACTCCTGAAAAGGCTCTTGATGAAATAATGCCCGTGCCTGATTTATCTGCAGCAGTAAAAAGAGTCCGCAAAAAAATATCCGGTGAGATTACATCTGAAGAATTTATTAAAAATAAGAAAGATGTACAAATCAAGAAGAGCTCAAAACCTGTGAAAAAAACAAAAAATAAGAGAAAGCTGAGCGAATCGTCAGTCTCTGAAGATGATGTTACTCTTGATGACAGTTCTAGTGGTGATGAAGACTTCAGTGATTTAGAAAATGAGCCGGATGCAAGGAGGACTATCGCCAAACATGTAAACAAGATGACTGGTTACAATGTGTTTTTTGTAAGCGTTGGTTACATGAAACTTGTACTGGCTTCGTTAACCTTTGTAATAAGTGTGGAAAGTCTGTAGCTACCAAAAAGAAGAAATCTTAGCATGGTCCATGTCTCCTACCCCTAGTTGTCCATCTCACCGCCACAGGGTAGGATTGATGGACCAATGACATACCTCTCATTATATATTTTTTTTAACTCTATGAATTGATATTTTTAGTTTTTATCTATACCAAAAGAAATACCAATGTTAAGTTATGCTATATATATTTTTTTAGTTTTGTTGTTTTTTTATTAAAGGAGCATGCCTAAATGTTTTAAAATGTGGTCCATCTCTCCTCCTTTTACCCTATTTGTGCGTAAGATATTGTATCTAAAAAGCCCATCTACTTCCATAGTAAATTGGTGACTAGAGGAATCATTAATCTTAGAGATCTGAGGCATAATAATAATCTGACCACGCCTTTGCACTACACCGCATTGTTTCAAAAATGTTTCACTTTCAATGCTGTGAGGTTATGCAACTCAACCGACCCTGCTTGGAGAAGCAAAAGTGTAGTAATATTCAGGAAGCTGGTTAAAAATCAGCTGTTAGATGTATCATAATTATCCGTTCAGTATTGGTCCATAACTGGTTCCTTTTTGGTTAACCAATATAGCGCGGATTTATCAATTCATTGTATTTTTCCCTTTATTATTAGCTCAGTTGAAAGGCAGATCGATGTATTTATTTTTAGGTTGCATGTATGTAACTTTGAATTGTATATACATATCTAATCACACAATAGGGTTGGGTATAAGAGTAGCCAACTGGCTAAACTTCACCCTATTATTGTGTTGCTAATAAAGACATTTATTATTATTATTATTATCCCCTCAGAAGTGGAATTTAAAACGATATTTTTAAGTTCCACTTTAAACTGTATCAAAGAACCGAACATATGAAATCCACATACATATTATGTAAGCATAGTAGTATAAGCCCCTTATTTTAACCTCTTCCTCAAAACAGGCTTAGATGTTTTGGCGTAAAGACGCAACATACAGGGAAAACCAAATTTGTCTGGCGGCATGACTTCAATGTGTATGAGAGAAAAGCTCGAAAAGTGTGTATCGACACAGATTCCCTAGCGTCCATGATGCAGAAGATCGTGCAATCTGAAAATGTAACAAATACCATTACGCAATCCAAATTATAACTTCCTGCTTGTACGCAGGCGAAAACCATCTACGATTATGGAGGTGGAAATCTTGCCACGGAATGTACGAGACGCGGTGTTGCCAAGCAAGCCAACGATGCAATGTTGCAGATTTTCGATCCTAAACAGATTCTGCACAATTCGCAATTTAAAAATGTACACGCTCAAAATGAAACCTTTATTTGGTCGTAGGGAATAAACTAACGCATATTTTCAACAAGCATCTTAATTCAAGGAATTGGTGTAACATATTGGCAACGCGGCAAGTTGCCGCGTCAGCGTTGCTAGGCAACGCGGTGATGATCTTCGGTATCCAGCTGGCTTCTGTCTCTTTCTAACGTATGTGTCGATGCACACTTCTCTCTCGTACACATTGAAATCAAGCCGTCAGACAAATTTGGTTCTAAGTGTAGGGCAGTAGGTTGCTTGTTGGCATTTGGGATAAAAAATCCAACAAATACCAACTTTTCCCAACATCCGTTATGCATGAGCATTGCGTGACGCTTGCAGCTTAGCGAAACAAATAACGGAAGCAAAGCTCTAAGTAGGTTAGCATTCTCGCTTTTGCTTTTATATTAGACCGGAGATGAGTAATGCGTCAGGAAAAACAACCTGAGGAGTTTTAATGAGAAAAACATCCGAACTTATTAATAGCAGAGGAGTTTTCAACTGCGGTGATACAGCCGAGCGTGCAGGCAAAATATCATTATTAAAATGTATGACTACTCTGTTTCCCCAACCCAGTGGGGAAATGAGAAAAAAAAGGTGATGCGTTTTCCGATGTTACCAGCAAACCAAATTAAACTTGAGTACAGTTGGTGTGCTGACATAATTACCGGGCGGCACAGTATAACCGTCTTTTCTGTTCTTGCTCAGAAAGGGCGAGACATTTTGAATGTACCACCGTCTCTGCGCTCACACAGAAAGGAAGCTATAACAAGCTTGCGGTAGCTCGGGTGGAGGAATGAGGCAGAATGTGTGACAATTTTATGACGAGAAAAGAAAAAGACACAGTCATGAACATTTTACGAACTCTATGGGGCCGTTCAAGTATTTCGTGAGCACTATGGGGGGGAGGCGGGGGGATCTTTGTTTTGCTTATTTTGGATGACATGGGTGGTAGGGGAGTCTAGATGATAATTATGTCATCGGTAGTTATTTACTTTTTCACACGAATGGCAACCGTCACATTGTCTTTGCTTGAAACGCATTTTCGGGGATTCCAGCAAATAATGCATACGTTTAGTGAACAGCGCGCGGTAATTCCCCTACTCGCTTTAGAACCGAGTAGGGGAATTACCGGGCGGTGTTCTCTTGTCTAAATTTCCTCTATCAGTGTATTGTTTCGTTTGGATACTATAGCGAGTAGACGTATTGTAAGTATAGTAAAGCAAGTTAACATTTATGTTACCATTGATTCCATTAGCCAAAGTTTAATGTTTAAATAAGATGTCGTTTCACATAGACAAATCCAAGTTATACCAAAAATTGAAAGTTTTATAAAATCTCATACAAGTACGAAAGTACAAAATGTACAAAAGTTAGTTAACGAAGTGTGGCGAAATTACAAATTACAAGCAAAATCCGACAAGGAACTAGATATTATTGTATCTAAGAGAATCGAAGAAGAATTGCAAGCGGCGACTAAGAATACATCCAATTCACAATTTTTTTTTCTAAGGTGAGTGACGAAATCATTTTAGGTACCTATGAGTACTAGAAATATTAGAAATCGCCAAAAAGTTTCTCTTTACTGATTAGAAAATATTATGGCCTATCTCAAAGGATAGAGGTAATATTCATTATATTATAGATTTATTTTCTATGATTGATTCCGTCAATTGGTCACAAAGTACAGGATTTAGTTTTATACATATAAACAGAAAACTAACACCCTGTATTTTGTGACCGGAACGAATCGCTCGTTTAAACATATTAGATTTAAAGCCATAGGGTTTTGTATCTACCATATATATTGCCATACTTTGTATTTATGTAGCTTAATAAGAGAATCTTTAGCAGAAAGTTTTTATTTTTAGGCAACCTGTAAACCTGCAGAAAAAACACAAATTATACAGTCAGCTTCAAATATTAAAAAAGACGAAGATGATAAAATAAAGCCCGGTAATGAATCACAACAGCAATGCGAAATTAATGAAAATACAGATAAACAGAGAGC